GTCTTGGTTAGACTGCCCCACTTCTCCACGCACCACCATGTCAAGGTAGTCTGGCTCGCTGCACCATGTGTATCCCAGCATCCGTTTTCGGCCCCTCGTTCGGTCGTCTTTATCGGGCTGCCTGATGTGCCTCGCAAAGTTGGCTTCTATCACAAGTACGACTCGATACACGGGAGCTGTTCACGCGAATAGCATCCTCGGGACAAGAAAGAATTCCGCATCTGGTTGCGAGGACTATATGGCCCGGCTACCAAGCCCTCGGAATCAATTCCGCGTACCCCCCCCAGAGCGGAACAAAGTTACTATACAGGGCTCTGTGATGCACATTAACTCATCTCGGATGAAGCGATGTATACCTGGGCCTATTATTCGGGAATGTGCACTCGGGCTATAAGCTAAGCGTACACAAGGTGAGCATTGAAGTGGCCAAGATGTCACAATAGTACCATGGGTCCCCCAAATGACTTCATTTGCATATGTTTGTTGATTTCTCAATTCTTTATCTATTTTCTTTCCAGGTTCTGGCTTGGAAGCCGCTTCAAATTGGGGCTGGATAGATACGGTGGCGTTTGCTGTCCTCGAAATCACGCCTCTTTCATACCGAATAGCACAAAGTATATCGATTCAACCCAAACAATAAGGGTACTCTGTACTCGAAGGGAGATTTTGGTGACAAAATTGAAGAGTGAATGCACGGCAAGTTGCACTGGTCCTTTTTGATGACAGCGAACAAGGAAGCACGAGACGTTGGATTTACCACTAACGACAGTAGCAGTTTTCTCTGGCAGAACATCATGCGTTTGTGAAATTCATAGTGCGTCCAATGAGCATTGTGCTAGTGAAGGTTGAGCAATGTCGAAGCTCAGCCTCTAACATCTCGACCAGCAGGTTAGCCGATTGGGTACTAATGCGTCCCCGGCGACTCACTCTGACATCAAGCTCCGGTCTACAATGATAAACATAATGGCTGCTACCTAAGGATTTCGCATGAGTGGACGAAGCCCAATATGCTACTCGATTATTGCCACTGGCTTTGTGCAACAAACAGAGGGAACAACATGATGGCGTAGGTGTTGTCTCGAACCTGTGAACCACATCCCTACTCGGATACTAAGCACTTGTATGAAGGCATACTGAAGGGTCAGAATACTACTCTACATTGAGTTAATACGCCACTCAAAGATTGATACTAACGAAGTTAGTTCGATTGCCAAGGCGAAGCTTAGCACCACGAGATCGTCGTGCGCACACGAGACCAAAATGAAGCCTTTTCAGACGACAAGAGTCACAACACTAAGCATCGTCATCAAAGCTAAGAGTATAAATAAAAGTTCTCACATGACCAGGAGAATGAGCAAGAAAAGTGCGGGGCTGTGGATGATATCGCCCAAGAGTTGTTCAGGCAATACTGGTGTCACGCCTACACGTGGCCTCGAAGATCGAGCGCTGTTCACTGGACTCACAAGTTCACATTGATGGCTTTACGCAGGATCGTGGTGCTGGTAGCCCTGCTGATTGTAATAATGGCTGTTTCGATTGTCATCGGCGCATCGCAGGATCAAACGACAAAAGCAAGTCAAAACCAAAAAGCATCCCTTTCTATCACGAAAACAACCCCTTTCGCAATATTCCAGATTCTTCTCTTGCATTAAATTGGCTGAATACACTCGAATGAGACGTCACTCACACAACCCTTATTGGTAGGGATCTACAGAATGGGGTTCAAGGACTTCTGAAGTGTTCAGGTCATCCCCGCCCCAGCCGCTCGAATCTCATTGAGCAGCCCCACTAATTCTTTTTGGAGTTTACAAAGAATCAAGACGCTAGAATTATAGCGTAAGTTCTTCTTCTACCAAATCAGGACTGAGGGTATCCAACTGTCTCAGCAGTCATGAGACACCTAAGCCTTCCCTACGTCTCCTTCTGGTGGTTTTAGGAAGGTCGTCAATCACGGAAAAAGCTAAACATGCCTTCCCCAATCCGCTCACAGCGCAAGAAAGGCAGCAAGTATGAAGAGATATAGCCAAGCCGTTCGAAATTCTGGTCTCGCAGTCCCGTGTCTATAGACACCTGACTTGATTGGCCGTGTAACCTTCATCACTCTCATGAATTTGGGAGTGAATCGCCACATCACGAAGAAAGAAAGTCATCAGGACATGTACCCCGTAGGACACAGCAGCCGCTACTCCTATTTTAGATCAAAATCTTACAGAGCACTCTACGATGCTCGCACTTGAACCACTACCTAATGTTAGCTGCAGTATGCTTCACTCACACGCTCAGTACTTGAACCAACCAGATACGCCACGAGCATGTCGATTCGACGCCCCAGGCGTCAGCCAAGGGGGAAATAGTCGCAGGTTCCGTGGAGTGAATGTGCAGATGGAGCGCCTTCACACCATCTTTTTTTCCATCGGAAATGGTCCGAGCAGTAGATAAATATGCCCTCAAAACCCCGCGTATGACAGTCAGTCAAGGCAGCTCTTCAACTGTCTCGAGTTCAGAAACTCGTCTCCTTCTGTCCCGCGTTTGGGAAACATTGTTTATCCACAGCCCACTATGGTGAGAGGATCTTCACTCCTCACTGCGCTGCTAGCGGCCAGTGCCCACGCTTGGATGCCCGAGCACCGAGAACTCGGTGCCTTTAACAGAACAAGCAATTATCTCTCGAAACGCGCACAAAGCCTTCCTAACTGGAAAGTCCGGGGCGTCAACTTGGGTGGATGGCTGCTCTCGGAGCCATGGATGATGAACGACGAGTGGAAGACCATGGGCTGCGGCAACACTTGCTCTGAATTTGACTGCGTTTCTGCTCTTGGTCAGTCAAAGGCAGATACAGCGTTCAATGATCACTATGCTCGCTGGATTACCCCAAGTATGATTCAGGATATGTACAATGCAGGACTGAACACCATTCGCATCCCAATTGGATACTGGAGCCTCAGGAGCATTGTGGATAGCAGCGAGAAGTTTCCCAAGATGGACTTACAATACCTGGATGCCATTGTTGAAAAGGCTGCCAATCTGGGCATGTTTGTTGTCATGGACCTTCATGGCGCACCAGGAGCTCAGAAGACCTTGGATGCCTTCACTGGCCAGGTATGCTTGTTGAATCCACCCTTTCTGTCTTCCAAGCCCTAACACCAACTTCAGTGCCTTCCAGTCTCCAATCTCCCCGGATTCTTCACACAGTACAACTACGACCGCGCCACTAAATGGCTCGACTGGATGACCCGCCGCATCCACACCAAGCCCGCCTACAAATCCTCCATCGGCATCATCGGGGTCGTCAACGAGCCTCAGACCTCCCGCGACCAAGGCGGGATGCCAAAACAAGAAGTCGACACCCTAACCCAAGTCTACTACCCCCAAGCCCTCAAAGCCGTCCGCGCCGCGGAACAAGCCCTCAACATCCCCGAAACCGAGCGTCTCCACGTGCAATTCATGGACACCCTCTGGGGCGCGGGAAACCCGAAATCGCACCTCCCCGCCAACGCCACCCGAATCGTCTACGACGACCATAACTACATCGGCGGCGCCGTCATCGCCAAAAACCCAGACGCCAAACAAGCAGACTACATGTACTACACCTGTTTCGAAGACGACCGTCTTTCCGACGGCGACACGCCCAAAATGGTGCAAGAATGGAGTTTAACAGTCAAAAACGAGTATTCTGCAGAGTTCGACTGGAAGCTTACTCAGAACGAGGCGTTCTACAAGCAGTGGTTTGTGGCGCAGCAACGGCTTTATGAGCGCACGAATGGGTGGATCTTCTGGTCGTGGAGGACGCAGCTGAACGATCCGCGCTGGGATTATAGTTATCTCGTGTGGAAGAAGTGGGTGCCTACAACTGCGGCGGGACTGGATGCGAGTGCCAAGCAGGATGTGTGTGCGGAGTACTTTGGGAACGAGGGTATGATTGCGAAGACGAAGAGGATGACGTTGCGGAAGGGTCGTTCTACTATTCCGCTTTAAATTTTTATCAGACTGGGCTTGTGTTTTTTCTTTTCCTCTTTGTTCTAAATACCCCCTGTTCTGCCCCAATTGTTTTTGTTAAACTGTAGTTGAGATGAGATTGGTATGGTGCTTTTCTCTTTAGTGTAGTGTGCGACTCGAGTTATTCGTTCAATGCACAGTATGATGCTTCAGCTAGCGTCTTGCTGGTAGTAGTCGAGGAGCAAACAAAAGCTTCTGGAAAGGCGCCGTGTAACTATTCTTACAACGTGTTTTGTACGACTTCTCCGCAGTCTATTCAACCTCCATGCCAAGTGCCTACGCACCAACATCCGGATCATGGGACCTGCAAGCGTATGATAGAGCCAGCTGGTCATCAGCAGAGAAAAGGTGATGACGGGACATGTCCGCAGGGCCCCTTTTGTTCTTGAGATTCAATATCGAGCGAGGTCAGCAGACTCTACCAGCTCATTGCGAGACTCGAGGAGGGGTGGTGATTGCCAGCAGCCGGGTGCCGATATTGACTGTAAGTAGCAAGGTCAGGAGGTTGCGTACACTAGTTAGTGTAACAATGCAGGCCATTGGTGTAGGCTGTTTTGCGGAGAAGAAGGTGGGGTAGGAGGTGAGTGGTATGCCCGAATCGCAGTGTGACGGATTACCTACTGGTATTTTCAGCACACTAGCGTTGGTGTTTGAGAGACACAAGACGAGAATTACGGCCAATAAGGCGACAAGACAGAAAGCTTAATTCAAATGTTTGCAAAGAACAACAAAGTGCTGTATCTGACACCCAATCCAAGCCATAAAGGCGGTATATCCCAAAAACGCCGTGTTAGTGCAACCCGAACAAACTCCCAAGGGCAACAACACCAGCCCCGCAACCTCGTGAGCACCGACCGTGAGGCATCATCTCGACCCTAGTATAGTAATTACGAAAGAATAACAGGCCGTGAACAGGCACGATATATCGTGAGTCGTGACTTTCAGAGACTTCGTGAAAGCATAAGCGAAAAGGATCAAGAAGACTGAAAGGAATAATGAACAGACTAGCTGACGCTCTGCGAGAGAGCAGAAGAGAGATGGGACGCAAATTTGGCGTCAATACCGTCCTCCTGACCACCTAGGCCAAGGCCTATACCACTGTCGTCGTGGTTCGACTCTTGTTGTGACGGGTTCAAATTGTAATCGTAACTAAAGCTCATGTTATACTGTGATGACTGTTGAGTAAAGCGTCCAGTATTGACTGATGATCTTACGTTAGTCAACTACCATGTAAGCCCGTGTTGTGAATGAAGAGACTCACCTTCCTGGTTAGATCCGGTATCCTGGATAGTTACATGGCTAGTGGTCGACATGAACGACTGGTCAGGGCCAAAGTCGGCCTCAAGGCTACTGTAACGGCTATCATTGTTACTGCCGCTGCCACCGTTGGTCATGCCCGCGTTGAGCGGGTCACCCATTACAGGAGAGTAATTCGAAGACGTCCAGTCTGGCGGTGAGTGGCCCAAGAAACCTCCTATAGATGCCAGCCATTGTGCCATTTCATCTACGAATACCTTGGTGAGCCACCATCCTTGGAAACTGATTCCGTTCTCTACTGTGATTTCTCTTAGCGCTGCAGAACCGAGTGCGCTGATGCAATGCATAATAGTCCGCGCGTGTGCGCCAGGGAACCGTGAAGGTAGTCGAGTTAGGAATGCTGCGATGCGATCAATGACCGACTCAGATGGATCAGCGGGTGGGTCGGGGTATGCTGCTCGATGTATCGTCCCAGAGGGTAACTGGATCTCTTGTGGAAGCGGGCCCAACATTGACCGGATCTCGGTCGTAAGAATATTGTACACTTCTTCGTGCGCGCATGAAGCAGGCAACTCGTTCGCAATGATGCGCTTGATGTTCACGTGCTGGAGCCAATCGGCGTACATATGAGTCCGATGGCTCTCCGCTGTAAGCATGACGGCTGCTGCGTGTGCTGCTGAGTTGACGCGGAGCATCTGTCGTAGTAGGTGAGCGAACAATGTAGCGGGTTCCAGTTTTGCCTCAAGCACATGGACTGGTAAGGACATGAACTTGGCAGCAATGTGCGCATGCAGCGTCTTCGCGACATTGTCAAGAAACTTCAAAACTGGCGGCGGTGCTACTTGGAGCGTCAGCTGAGAGACGTTCCGAATCATCTTCTGATACATCATCCAGTCACACTCTCTAATCCATGGCGCTAGCTCTGGTGTTGCAAACAACTTCTGCACTGGCACAGTCAAAGTACCGTGGAAAGTGCCAAACAAGCGAAAAAACTGTTTCTCCTTGCAGTATCGTACAGAGTCCACTAGTGAGACGACATGTGAGCGGTACATAGCGACCAGGTTGTCAGCAGAGTCAGGGTCGGTACGGGCTGGCAGATACGGCTTGATATCCGGCAATTCGACGACAAACGCATCTGGGGCCTCAAGGATGTCCGGCGTGGGAAACTTGAGCTCGTGTTCGTATGAGGATTTTGTGCGGGACTGCGATGGTTGGAAATGCGACGAATAGATATCGGTGAATAGCACACCGCGTGATGAGGTCGGAGTATAAAAGGTGTTGTGAGACTCTGCCCTTGGTTCTCGAGGAGGAAACTGTGAGTTGTCTGCAGGGAGACGTGGGATGGCGCTGGTTTTCGTTAGTACGTGTCCTTGGAAAGGATGCGAGTGGGGCGCATACTCGAGGTTGAGTCTGGGAGTGCCAGAAGTTTGACGCTTCATAGCATGATGCGCAGCAGCACCAGTGCTAGGCCGGCGCGCCTCGTCGCCATCGCCTCCATCGTTGATAAGCTCCAGATCGACATAGTGGTACTTGGACTCTCCACGAACACCGAGACGCCTAGTTTGGATACCGGGAAAGATGACACGAACAAGCTTTCCGAAGGAGGCCGGGTTGAGGGGAATGACGCGATCGGTGCCGCAGCGTTCTGCGTACTTGGAGTAGACGCGGTTGCGTGGGACAGACGTCTTTGCGACGCGACAAACTGACTGCAGCCTGTAGACTGTTAGCATATGAGAAACCCGAAGGCATCATGGCACTCACCACAGCATGGCGAACAGCTGCTTCGATTTCTCTGATTTGGACGTCCGATCATTCTGGATAACCTCGGCCGCAACGTCCTTCAAATTACGACCCTCGTTCTGGTTCAGCAACTGGCGCAACTCCTTGTCGTTGGTCGCCGCTCCCGAGGTGGAGGCCCTCTTCTTCTTGTCTTCGTTGTCCACCGACGGAGCCATGAAGCTGTGTTGCTGTGAATGCTGCGAGTGTTGCGAAAGCTGCGAAAGTTGCGATTGCTGTGGGAGGGGGTTGTGGTAGCCGTGGTGATCTGTTTGCGCAGGCTGCCCATTTGGTTGAGGCTGATTCGTGGTTGAGTCGGCCGGGTAACCGAGGTACTGCTGGACGCTTTCCAGGCTCATATTGATGAGGTGGTCCTGCGCGCTGACCTGCTGGGCAGCTTGGATTAGTGCAGGCTGCAAAGCTTCACTCGTCGTGAAGGGTGCGTGGTACTGCGGCTGCTGAGGAAATTGGGCGGCCCGAGATTGCTGCGGTTGTTGGAATTGCTCAAACGAATGGACGCTTGTCGTCGACGCGCGCGAGGGCGGGCGGTTACTCCGGGTAGACATTGATGTATTTGAACGTGACCGGCGGATATCGGTCATGATATGGGTGCCAGTAGTGGCTGATGGTTTCTCTGTTTACACCAAAACAATGGGACAGCAACGGCGTTAAGGGGGCGACAACACGGTCAGACGGGCACCCAAGGCTAGGTATAAGTCGACAGAGATATATAATGGGCGCGTCGAAGCTATAGATGAATGTTGTAGACGTGTAGGACGGGCTGTACGTGTGTGTTTCGATGCTACTGGGCTTGTTTGTTGTCGGTCCTGTGACTTGGCCGACACGCGGATGCGTCAGGTAAGATGGCAAAGACGCGAAGGAGATGCTCCAGAAAGAATGGCCAGCTCCAAAAAGCGTCGTCGGCGCTGTCGGTTCCCCTCGGACGGGTTTGTTGTGGGATGGGGTTTTTCGATGTTTACGCTTTTGACTGAACTTGGTCGCATCTGCGGCAACGGACTGGCCGGCGCGCATGGACCAGCGGCATCACATGACCATCGTCATAACACACTACTATGCAATCTTACTACCACTATTATGTCGTCGCCCAGAAACAGTAGGGAAATGCCATTTGGCCAAGGATGCACGTTGTATTGCAAACACCGCGTCCGGCCTCGATGCAGCATTGCGCGCACGTACTGTGCTCGATGCATCTGCTGCGGGTCAAACTGCTGCCATTCGGCTGGCTTGTGAAAGGCGGTGACGTATTTAGCGATGACGAGCCCACTTGCCTCCATCCCACAATCGTCCCGGCTCCGCGTTCCCACTCTTCCTTTCCAAAGAACACCTTTCCAACCTGCTTCCTACTGAGCAATCCTGTCCTTTACATTCCTAACCTCTCTCACCACAAATTTCCCTATACAGATTCTACTCGACATCTAACCACCCTTCACCATGTCTGTCCAGGATAGAGCCCAGGCCCAGCTGTCACAGCTCGACAAGGAGGTAAGCCCCCCGCTCGCTTCAGTCGGATGACACATTGCCAAAATACACCCTCTTTTTTCTCCTGCCCGGCCTTGACGACAGGCTGTGCGGCTCGAAATCCCAAGCAACGCGTGCTGATGATGTGGTGTTCTAGTTGTCCAAATACCCCGCCCTCAACAACTTTGAGAAGCAGACCTCCGTCCCCAAGGTCTACATGGTGCTCGGTCTTGCCGGACTCTACTTTTTCCTCATCTTCTTCAACATTGCCGGAGAATTCCTTGTCAACGTTGCCGGATTCATCATCCCAGGCTACTACTCCCTAGACGCCCTCTTCTCCGCAAGCAAGGTCGATGACACTCAGTGGCTCACAGTATGTACCCCGCCACGGTATTTGAAACCGGCTCCCCCCACAACACACGTGATAGCATCCAGACAGCTGACGCGCCTATTCAGTACTGGGTAACCTTTGCTTTCCTGACCGTTTTTGAGAGTGCCGTCAGTGCTAGCTACTGGTTCCGTAAGTATCCCAAATCGCCTCAAATGCGGCACGCCACTGACTCTGAGCAGCCTTCTACTACACCTTCAAGTTTGTCCTTGTTCTCTGGATGGCCCTGCCCCAGACTGCGTAAGTGACCTCAAGTAGACACTGGAACGCCATCTAACACATCGCAGTGGTGCCCAGCTAGTCTTCCGTTCCTTCATCCAGCCCGTCTTCTCCCGCTACTTCTCGCAGAGTGGCTCCACTGCCGCCGACCTCCGCGCCAAGGTCGACTCCGCCGGCAAGGCTCATGCCTCGTAAATTTGCTGTAGCCACACCACCTCTGGCAGTCGTATGAACAGGTCAATGCAAGCACGATGATGTCCAGGTAACGCCCTCTGCTGTGCGGGGGCTAGACAGACCGGAATTCTCGAGGCTTGGGGCCGTCGCGTCTTGGAATCGCAGTATGAATGAGAACATGTGGGTACGGACAATGTTCACAGAAGGAGTAGCATAGGGAGAAAGAGACTGGAATCCTTTCATCCTATGATTACTTGTCCACGAAGCAACGGCTTGGGTAATAGATCGTTTTCTGTAGCAAAGGAGTTTGACAAGGTTGCCTGTGAGCAACGATTTGATGTACTAGAAGGGGCCCTGCCCTAGGCAAGCAACAATGACATTTGTCCCTGTATATTTTTGAAGTCACCTATGTCTGAGAAGCCAATGACCTCTCTCGGAGTGTTGGTTGACGATTAGAAACCTAAGGCTCTGAAAAATCTCTAATTGTACAACTGACAATTTCCCTACAATATCAGTTGGCATGTTTCTTGGATACGTCCGGCTAGTGAATCGTTTCTTTTACTAACAAAATTCATCTTAACAACCACCCCGCTGCACTTCCTCGTCGCCATACCCACCCCTACCTTCTCTTGCACTCTATATCATGTCTGTAGCTTCTGCAAAAGACCCGCGGAGTTATTCTTTTCTATCCGTCTAGTGGTGCTAGGCTAGATTGAGGATATTGATAACATCACCTGAGCCCTCCTACTACTTAAAGGAGCGCTAAAAAGGTTAGACTACCGAGATATACGCATGTACGCCAGTAGCACCTCTTGCTGAGCCGGCTAACTAATCCTAGCTAGAAGACGGAGGTAGAGAATGGATAATTGAATAGACCCTGAGAGATTATTCCCGTAAACGCGTAGGACGGCTAGATAAAAGTGATCCGTGCACTCAAACACGGTGAATACGGTGGATTCGATGAATACAATAGCGCCGGAAAAATCCCGATGATCATGGCACGTGGGATAATAAATTAAACAGTGCCTGTTGTTATAGGGTAGGTTATACCTACCTTATTTAGGCTAGAAGAAAGACAGGGAATGGCACGGATACTATAAGTAGACTATATACCGTAATAATTGTTATAGGCTAGACCTATAGAGAACTATTAAGGAGCTAAAGATTATTGTATTACTTAACGTGGTTCACAAGCGAGTCGGCCACCCAAGCGAGTCGGCCACTTTGCTCCGACGCGTTAACGTCAACACTATAACACGTAATGACTCAACAACGTAACTCTCAAACTTTATACTCTGAATCAGATCTTCAAATTGCTCTTTTTGATATCCAATTAAAACGTGTTAAAAGCCAAAGACGTGCTGCTTCTATCTATAACGTGCCTCGAACTACTCTTCAAGACCGAC